CAATTTAATGTGTAAAAACTACGCGTATATTGAAGTTTGAAACAAAAACTTTTTTTAAAATTTAAAACAAATAATATATTTGTCGCATTAAATGTCATCATTGTCATTGTACTTAAGTTATTATAGTATGCAATTTTATCAGATTTAAAACAAATTGAAAACAATAATTAAAGAACTAATAAGAGTGTAGCACAGACTACGATGTGCAGAATCGTGTAAAAACTTAACAGATTTTTAATCAGTATCGAATACAGAACAGTTAACGACTCTATATTGTGTCGTGCATTTTTTTCAAATTATGTGCGTACAAAATAAAATATAAAAAAAGTTTATAGAAATTATTTATACGTTTAGGAACTATAAAGGGTAGGACTAGCAGGGAAAAAGCAATCTCGTGCGTCATCGGACAATATCGTTAAATTTTATCTTACTCATTATTTAATTAGGTCATACCGTCAACGAAAAGATTCGAATTCAATAACCAATTGCAGTTGTCATAAAGCTATATTGTAAGTAAAGGTAGCGTATTAACTGTAACGATATCTCTCGAGGGCTCTGCCAGCACTTGTATGCACCTGTCACTTACACATTCTACCTGAAGTCTGTCACGAGGTTCCTGAATAAGGAAAACTTGAGAGTATAATATTATATTAATTTCGATTATATCTCGTTTCTCGATTGTAATTTCGGCAGTTACACGGTAAAATAATAAAAAAATGGCTAACGAACACATCTATTTTACATGTCTATAAAAATTTATCTTAAAAGCCTATAAAATTTATCTTAATATATTATATTATTTGTTATAAAATAATATATATAGACACCTCCATCCTTTTATCTGTGAGATTTTTCAAAGAAAATATTTTTGGCATAGAATATCGGAGTACTTACAACTTGCAATGCAACAAAACTTCGAGAAAACGATTTCATAAAAGAAAAGTAACAAGTTTTCGAAAATATGAGATAATACGCAACACGCGGCGATAAAAATCAATACTCTATAAACGCAGTACTTAAAGAGAAACTGCTAAACGTGTCTTTCCCGCGATGCAGTCGATCAACGAGACAAAATGGGGAAAAGCAAACTGTCAAAGACTACTTTTCCTGCATCGTAATCGATCAGGTCTTCGAAGTCTCATTGCAGTTCACCGTATTAAGTCTTGCCACATTAGTCGCTGCTGTGTCAGCCACATTCATCGAGACTACGGGGACTACGAGCGCCTCAAGAAACACGCGAGTGCTTCGCCGAATCTAATTTTATCTCCACCGAAGGAGTTTGAAAGCAGCGCTATGCTGATAATTCGTACTTTGCATGCAGGTTTTAAAGGTTCAATAAATAAAGGTTTGAGTTTCTACAGAGAACAATGAATCACGGCGTTTATGATATTTCAATTTCTCAAATCTCTCCAAAGGCAAGGATTCGTATAAGCAACCGTATAAGACGTTTAACAATTCAAATTGTTGATTAACGTTTAAATGCAAAATTTAATTTGGTTACAAATTAAGCATGCTCGAGAAATTGAAAAAAGATAAAAAATAATAATAAAATTTGTAATCCCATCCTTTCTATATAGTATCCCGATAAAATAATGACTAGTTACTAGAATAGAAGTATATCATCAAGTGATCGTATAAATCAAACTTAAAAGTCAATTACACGTTTTTTAAAGCTAATGCTACTAATAGGAAGCCAAAGGAAGATCAAAAGAAAATATTATAGATATGTAAAGATGAAATACATAGAATTAACGACGCTTCTCGTGCACCATGCATGAAATATCAAAAATATAACACTAAATTAGCCCGATTTTTCTTTCCTAATTTCAATCTAGGACTATTACTATGTAAGCTGCATCATGAGAGCCACAAACCATCGACTTGCGGCGACATTAATTAAACGTGCAACTAGTAATCGTATATACCATGATGGAATTCAGCAATGCGTCCAAGATTATCTAAATTCCACTTAGAATTCTAATATAACGCGTTTCGTATCTAATCTAATCGCGAATAAGTGGACGAAGGACTAGCAAAACATTTTGCTCGATTTCGAGCAAAACATAATACATATAATGACGATTATGCGTCGGAATTAACGACACGAGATCAATGAACAGAGATGCGGTCGCCTGTTGCAAATGCGAAAAATTTTGCGAATCTACGAAAATAATACGCGACTTGTAAATGCGCTGCGCGATTACAGGGGGATGCCGGAGTGGCGATCAATCCGGTCGAATATGCGAGAGCGCCCGCCGTCCACCGGGGGTGGCACCTTCGTCCGCCTTTCGGAGGCGGCTTCGCTAAACCGAGGTCGTGCAATACTTACGATTTCAGCCTCATCAGCCACGTTGATATGACACACATTTTTTTCGCGTCATCCCGCTCGACTTAGGTCCCGGGTTGCGGCTCGAGGTAGTTCGGTACTCGCAGCCAGCGTATTTGGTCCTTGCGGAAGATTGGATAGACAAGAAGTCAGAGGTAACGAGTTACACAAATGAGTTATTAGCTGAAAATGAGCGTCGGCTGCGACGATGGTGAAGGTGGCGGCGGCAAGCGTCGATAGAGACGCAAAGGCCGTGCCGAAAGCGAAGGCGACTCACCTCGTACTCTCCTGCGGGCCGAGCTATTTTCAGCATCGATCCATTTCCATCGGAGGAGAAACATGCGCGCGGCCACACCACCCACCACCCCCGGCGACGACAGCGACGGCGGCGGCCCCAAGAGTTGACGGCGTTTTCTGTCAAAGCGACGGAATCGCGGCCAGCGATGTTCAAGGGTGAAGGATGATAATTGGAAAATCGAGATATCTTGTAAGATCCAATAATGGTGCCAAGAATTGAAGGACAGAAATCATTCTATTAGTTCAAAAGGCAGCTGGATTTTTTCACTTATTTCACCAAACTCCATGAATTTTATTATTATATCGAAATATAATAGCTGGAATGACGGCAGTGGCGCTGCAGGATGGAGAAGATACGTGCTTAAATTTGTACAAAAAAAAAAAGAAAACAAAGCACTCATGTTGTAATACCAAGACTGAAACTTTTTTTTACTAATTACTGACTTCATTAAAAACGCTATAATCATAATCTGACAGCGATCCTTTAATTGGGACGCAACATGATGGTATATCTTCAATCGTATAAAAAAATAATTAGGTTCATAATGTCAAAGTTGAAATTTTTTGTGACGATAACTTATATAATAAAACGTAATTACTTATATAATATAGTAATCTAGCCGTTTGCTGATGGAAAGATAGCTCTGGCAGCTGAGGATAACAATGGAAGTTCTCCTGAAAGATCGTTGTTAGTTTATATCGTTTTTAATGAAGTCAGTGCTTTATAGATAACAAAAAGTCCAAAATCGAGACATTAGACGTCTTTTGGAAAACCGTCTTTAAGATAATTTTACGTCTTGTTTTATTTTTTAAACATGCGTGTTATCTGGATAATTATAATTAAAATAGTTTTAACCTTGGTACAATAATATAAATGCATTGTTTTTTTTACGAATTCGAGCACGTACCGTCTTACCCTGTCTCGCAATGCCACCGCCAAATCGTCATTTCAGCAATCGTATACTTCAGCATAACAATAAAACTCATAAAGTAAGTTTGGTGAAATGAATGAAAAAATCCAGTTATCTCTCAAGTCTCAGACGATATGATAAACTATTCTTATTAAGATTTAAAGAATTAATTAAATCACAAAGAAGGGATGCTAATGTCATGCGGATTTAGAGTTCATATTGATTAGCGTATAATTAGCTCTCTGTTATTTCAATTCCTATAGTGTGGATTATATGAATCGGCATAGGCTAATAATAGATGTGGTATGTAGAGCTCGTTAAATCGGAAATATAATTACAGTTTTGTTGCTTAATGATTCTTTAATATGAATGGTTTTTGCCTTTAATTCTTCGCTGGATCTAAGAGTAAGAACCAATCACATTAAAAAATCACTAAGCGTTAACTGATTTGTTTTCTCTACTGACAATGTCAATCACCGACTGCCACCGAACTGCTATTTTGTTTGGTAAAAGAGGCATTCGTGTAAACATTACAAAATTCATTTGCAAAATTGTACTAAAATATTGCAACAAGTTTCTCATCAAGCAAACTTATAATTAATATCGATTAATATTGAATGAATAATTAATATTAATGTTTTTTTTTTCAATAATATCCAATTGTTAATGGGAAAAAATTTAAAAGTAAATTAAAGACGGGAATGTTAGGCTTGGTATGAAAATACTACGAGAGAATACTTTGTCATCGATGGTCAAATGTCTTTTTTTTACGAACAGAAAAGATTAACATGAATAGAGATGATATTGTTAACAATGGAAAAACAATATATTATCTACAATCAAGACTCTTTCGGGACACATATTCGAGGTTTGATAATCTTGTAGCTCTCGCAATATATGTGGGCATGTATATACGATGTATATACATATTCGTATATATTTCTCTTCTTCATACATATATTTCTCCTCTTTGAAATTGTACGTTTATTTTACACGTGGAATTAATATAATTAATAATAATATGAATAATATATAATAATAATAACAATAATTATAAGAATAATAATGTACATACTTTCACCGTTGTTGTTTACATAATCGTGACGGTAATCGGAATCATGCGTATAATGATCATAATTATGACATAATTAGTACAGATTTTGCCAAGTGAAGAATTGCTGTCGAAAAAAATTTGATTCGCTTGATTTGATACAAATGTGTATCTGAGATTTATTTAATACACAATTCGTGCCGTCCATTACGCAGGGCGGTTATACGTTAACATTTGTCTGCCATGATCACTCGACAAAACAGCACATGCAATAATAATCATAATAATAATAATAATTCGGATAATAATAATTAGAAAAATTAATAATGATGAATTCGAATAACTATCCTTCCCCTCCTCTCTCTCTCTCTCTCTCTCTCTCTCTCTCTCTCTCTCTCTCTCTCTTTCTTTCTCACTTCCTTTTCTCTCTATACATAAGTGCACAATTATTTACATAATCAATATAATGACAAATTCTAGGGTGCCTCTTGAGCGCATTTTAAAACTTGGATTCATCTGGAAATAATCCAGGATTATTTGGCACATCTTGCTTGCGTCCTTTCACATGCGGTCTGATACGTGGCACGATATTGAACCGTCATGCATTGATTGGCTCTTAGAAGATCGATTTTAAATAGCTAAAAATTGAAATAACGATTTTTTTTTTTTTCACCGTAGACACATCTCTCTAAGTCGCGCGTCCATTTTTACGACTGTTTCACATTGAATTTAGTGTATCTATCTTTTTCTCTCTGGATCGACTAACATTACACAGTTGATCTAATCACGACACAGTAGCCCACAATCTCTATACGAACGACACATCTTTGCCGAATTTACCGGAGCTCTTAAAGTCATCAAAAAAAAGAAAAAATATAGAAAAGTTATTTTCCGATATAATACACAATTATTGCTAACGCAAGAATATTTATAAGATACACATCGCGCACTTGCATTTACCGAATAATTTTTCCAATGAAAAACCACAATGGCCTTTCTTTCTCTCTCTCTACTACACATTTTTTTCTTTTCTATTTCGCATCGATCCCTATTTTCGTAGCGATACAATGACACAGATAAACATCTTTTTACCCTATTCGATCGCGTTGCGTAATAATCGCTCCCTGTAAAAAAACACTTAGGAGAAACAATTGTTTTTTATGCGAAATTTTCAAAAGCTTGTATACCGAACCACAGTCGAGCCTAAGTCTATTGCGTTTAACGAATCTACGGGTTCGAAACACGAGTTTCTGCTCTCTAAACAAACACGAAATGTCTAGGGCGAACGATAAAACGTTAGCGAGTTTCGCCTTTTTCGACATCGCAGACGTTTTCTCTTGCGTTCGAAGAAACGCATAAAGTGCGTCGTTATGCTTGTGGGATCGTCGTTTTGGAATTTTTTTTTCTTCCTTTATAATAAGAGCTTCCGCTTGGTTAGAATAACAGAACTGCCAAAAATTTCTAACCAAAATTTCACGTGAAAAAACATGCGACTCTCTATGATCGTATGCAAAATTTTATATATATATATGTGTGCGTGTGTATGTGTGTGTGTATGTGTGCGTGTGTGTGTATGTGTATAACTGATTCGCGACGTAAAAAGAATTAATTACATTACGCGAAGTTAATAATGTAATCACGTTAATATATTCGCACGTGCTACGCTGAATAAGAAATCTTTTAAAAAATCTGGATCGAAGCTCCGGTTCCACTTATCAAAATTTATCAAAATGTATGTGCGTAGATCATAGAAAATTACACGATATTTTCACGAGTCCCCCAAGTTAGAAATTTTTCACTGTTAGGAGACATCAGGTCAGGTACACTTCCTCATGTAGAACGGGCTAATATGTAGAAAGAGCAAAACGCTCGGCAGATGTGCTTTGGCGCACCGAAAAAAGATGATGACTTTTTGTATACTCGCGCATCTAATATAATAATGTTAACCGCTTGGGGAATGGGTCAGTCATGAGAATTTAATCGTAAATACCTCTGAAACTTCGACGTACGAACGTATTTCAATCGGAATACCAAATTTATCTCGGGATACCAAAAGTAGACTAAACTGCAGCAACTCTGTTTGAAATTTAAGCGGAACTTAAATTTAAGTTTTTCGTCAGATTATCGTCCGCGATTTGATTACATATTCACTTAAATTCGAAACATCATTGATGCAACCGAGTCTCGAAAACTGTCGTCTTTCACGGTGGTATATAAACACCATATTCTTTTTTTTCTTCTATAACAAATGCAAGAATCTACGTCGAGGAGTAGTTCGTCACAGAGGTTGTGAAAATTTTTTTATAGAACATTCATTCTCTTTTCTATTTCCCTTCTTCCCTTTCTCCCTTTGAAGATTGCTCCGTCATTTTCATGGCACCAAAGTACGACAACACGCGCGGAAGACTGTCAGGCGAGTACTTGCAATATAATAACCGGGGAAGATTTAAGATTTGCGTAAGAAACATAAAACTATGTAACAGGCACCTGTAGAAGAACCAGTTCTCCGAATTTCTATCAGACTTGCTTGAAGTCTTACTTGGAAAATTGCGTAAAAGCACTTGTCTTGCAAACAGATACCGCAATACTGGCCTCCGATCGCCGTCCTCACCGTCGAGACACGCCGTATAGAAACGCTCGTCTTAAGCGCGGCGATTAAGACCGCTTAAGTTACTGAACCCAAGACGCAGGCACCCACTGAGGTTCTCTCTCGAGTGAATTAATCTCCGTGAGAAGTTGGTTATACGCCCGATCCGTATCGTTGTTGAGGATAAGCATATCAAACAGATGGCCATACTTATCCTCCATCTCACGGGCCTTCTCGATTATGTCTTTTAATTCTTCCTCTTTGAAGCTTTCGTTGTTCTTGATCCTCTTCTGCCTAAGCTTCTCGAGGCTCGGAGGCGCGATAAACACAACATACGGCTTTAGATCCGAATTTCGCAGGATCTTGAGACTCTGGGGATGCAGGTTTAAGACACAGATTTTCCCGGAATTAACCACTGTCCTGATGGCCTCCACGGACGTGCCGTAGTACGCTTTTTCGTATTCGCCGTGCTCGACGAACTTTCGACAAAGAATATCGGACTCGAACTGAGCACGAGAAATAAAATGATAATCCTGCCCATCGACTTCGGAATCTTTCTTTGGACGACTTGTATCTAGAAATCGAAAAAGTAGAATATATTATTTAAATTATTTTATGCTTTATTTATGTTGTGGTATTTCTTTTAAAAAATTTTCAGATCTGTATCTAGTTAAATTTTTAAATATTTTAACAAAATCAATTTTTCCGTGTATAAAATAGTAAATAGCAGTAAAATAGTTCATAACAGATTAATTATTTAATTGTTTAATTGGTTATAATAATCTTAGCTTCACATTATATAAAATATATTATCTTAGTCAATCATGTTAATTTTAATTTAATCAAGATTATCAGGTAGGCTTTATAGCAACAATTTTGTCTAACCTTTTGTGTCTACCTCACACTTATGTATGTACATCTCATTGTCAGTATATATATTTCAAGAGTACAATAAATTAAGTTAAATTAAATTTTAAAAAGTGACACTTACGTGGTATCGCTGCAGCAAAACGTTCGCTGTCCTGCATCAATCTCTGCCTAAGTTCGTGCCGTCCGATGTTGGGTGGTCCGATGAGTACAATTGGCCTCTTGTGATTTGCACGAGGAAAGTATAAGGCGACTTCCTCATACGTCAGCACTTCCTCACTGTCGTAATCTGCAAGAAAACTTTGCGTCTAACAATAGTCTTTAACAATTTATAATTGACATTAAGTTAGCCAAGGCTTTACATACCGTCTATGGCAGTTGTTGCGTAAAGTGGATATCCATCGTCATTGAAGTTTGCGCCGAACTTGTTTCGTTTCTTCTTCTTTGGATTTTTTCTTGCGCACAATAGCGTGCTGGATTTTTTCGAACCTCGCATCGTCGATTTGTCGCCGGCTATCGTCTGCTTCATGGATTCTCGTCTGTATAGGTAAAACAGAATGCCATTTTAAACAGAACATTTAAGTATTGGCGCGATTATAATCTTCGATTATAATTAACTCACTGATGTTGAAACACTCTACTGGGTATTAGACCAGCCAGTGTCTGGTCCTCTTCACCCTCTCGATATGCTTGCCACCAGTTAGGATCCTCTTGGGAAATTACGTGGAGTACATCGCCCTTTTGAAAGCTTACGCCTAACTCTCTGCACGGTATATACGGGTCTTCCTCGGGATCGTAATCGAAATGCGCTCGTATATGTATCTAGATGCAAATGGTAAAAGCTTTATGGTTACAAATGTCATGTTATACCTGCGTTATGTTTGTGCAATGAAGTCAGAATAGCTGTTTCCTATTAGCGTCGATCTATAGATAATTCTGTACGTGTAACTTACAAGTATCAATGTTAAGATAAGAGAACAAATGTCATATGCTTATATATTCGCTTTTATACGTACGTTAGTTCAGTCAATGTAAATGCAAACAAACTTTAATTAAGCGAACGACAGAGTGACTAAATAATATTGATTTTCTTGAACTACAGATATCGAAATCGTAAAAAGACGTTCAAATGTAAAACGACCAATGTCATTTGTATCTTGAAAGTTGAAGGACAAATGTTTTCCCTATCTGACATTTGCCCTTTCACCTCCAATGCCACCACCGGTAATATTGGTTGTTCTAGTTTCAAGATCCAGGAATACAGGTAGTCCACATTTCTAATATGAGAATATGCTAAATATATCAGGATGTATGCTGTATATGTCGTACCTGGGTCGTGTCTTCTCTCCTTAAATTATTTCTGTGGCTCGTTGGAGCCGGAAGTACCAAGAACGTGAGACTACCCTGCATGCCAGCAAGAATATCACAAACTTCGTTGACAGTCTTGCCGCGCATTTCTACTCCGTTTACCTCGAGAACCTCGTCGCCCTCGTGTAGGAGTCCTGACTTGTCTGCCGCACCACCGCGAACGACACGTCCTTGAAAGACAGAATTAATTTTAGTGTTAGAAATAATGTTCTCGGAATTGAATTGTCGATAAGATTATACGACGAAATATTCAGTAAATCACCGGTATACTTTTAGCAGAGATAGAGGAAATGACAATTGCATGTAAATATGATTACCTATGATTACCGCATCCCCTTCGTTTCTGACGGTAGCACCCAGAGGTTCGTTAGTTTTCTCAATTCGGATAATTTTAATGTTGTCGACTACACGGGAATCTTTCCAACTAGACGTCGGACTGGGCGGTTCACTGGGTGGAGAGGACGGGCTTTGCTTCCTTTGTAAACCTTCCACGTAGGAGACGATAGAGTCGTGTGCTAGAAGCAGAGCCTCCATGTCGTAACTTGTTAGAATACTCGTTAACTCTTCCACGGCGGCTATTGTTTCTGCTCCGCCAACACCTGTTGCGGTCGACGACGATTGCCATTTTTCAAGGATATCCACGCACTGGAACATCAGAACGCCAGAGCATTAGAATTATGACATAAACATCGAAACAAGTAAATAATAATAATATATTTAATACGTAAAAAGGATTCACGAGATTTGTTGAACAAATAATATATTGAAAATACATGACATGGGATACAGTTTTTGAGTTATACATCCAGGCTGTTTATGTTTAAAATTCATTGGAAAAAGGCCTCTATTTAATTAAATAGAAATTATAAAAACAACATCATTATTAAAATATTTGAGAAAACAATTTTAATAAGCTTTTCCACATTATTCTAATTAAATTACGAACATAATGTTGTATACCATCTAGCTTCGCGATTGGAAAAAATTTTTAATTAGTAAACAAAAATGTATTGAATAGCGTTTTAAATAGCGTGAATAATATTATAGATCCTCTCTTTCATTATGTTATAAATTATCAATTTTACACATACATCTCGCGCTAAACTCGATGCGTCATCGGCATGGTGTTTAAAGATCTTGCTCGTCCTTAGCCGACTTTTTAAAGTATGACGAGTCGCCAGGGCAGACGCAAATTGATTCTGCACTAAAAGTGTTCGGACTGCCTCGAGCTCGGCTTCGACACCTGGACCCGAAATACCGAGAGCACCTGAAATATTCCGCAGTTGGAGCTGCAGCCTCTCCAGCGTAGCAACGACCTCGCCGTACGCTGAAATATGAAAGGTATACTTGTTAGAAACTTCTTTGCGGAATCCTGTATCGCCGCACCCGCTGTTTATTTACGCTACACAAGCGGGCTATAAGGGAAGAGCGAGGAACTATATTTAGTAGCATTCAATTTTCAGCAACTTTCAGAATTCTTTAAATACCGTTCTCGCGCTTGTAAGTTCATGAAATTAAATACAAAGAATGAGATAGAATAGATCTAAAATTCTCTTCAAATAAAAAACAATATAAAATTGAAAAAAACTTAAATATTAATGTAAAAATAAATAAAGAGCATGAACTGTATTATATTAAATTTTCTTAATTAAATTTGTTTGTCTTTCTTTTTACATTTTCTTCTTGTGACATTTTCTTTTTAGAGAGAACTTTTTAACGAGAATATAATTGGAAAAGAAAAATTACTCACTGAGAGGCCTGGGCGGCTCCTCCACTTCTTGGACTGCATTAGGAGTGGCGTGTGTAATTCGACTGACGCCGGTGGTCACCTCGTCATGTGCGTAAGCAAAATTTCCCTGGCCACTGAGGCTCGTCGCGTGGCTCTCCAAAGCTTGAAGCTTTTTAGAGCCACGGAGAGAATGGCTGAGCATTTCCTGTCTTTCCTCTTCATCTTTCCGTTTTCGTAATTGCTCCTGTAAGTGCGATATAACCGGTAAGCTGAATTTTCTTTTACAAGATATAAAAGCGTTCATGGAAATTTAAATCTCGTAACAAAACAGAATTCTCCACGTGTATTTATTCTAAAAATCAAGATATCAAAATTCTACATTCGACAGTTATTAAAATGTATGACACGTGTCTCTTCACAAAATATTTCACATATTTTTTTTTTTTAATATTAAATACAATACATTCGTACTTAAATGTATTTTAGATGCAATCGTGTATATAATAAATAATAAGATTTTTTAAAAATATAAATATATAATAAATAATAAGACTCTTTAAAAAAGAACAGAGAAAATTTGTATTAGACTAAAATTTGTCACGGTTCCCTTTCCGTAATTTATGTAATATTTATCTAATCTACAATATATGCATTAGAAAAAAAAATAAAAAATTCAACATATTTTGAAAACATAATATTTTAATCCAAACTCTGGTTAGATTGTCTTAAGGAAATCTTGTCTTATTGAAATGTTATAATTATGCTGATTATGTAAAAGTCTGTGAAATAATTGCTGTACACATCAACTGTATGTAACGAGTGTCGCAAATACATACGATTCGCTGCAAAATTTAAAGACCATTCAATGCGATTGCAACTTGCGAAAAATAACAAGTTCTTGAATGATATTAAATTCAAGACTCAATTGAACTTCTTTGCGAATGCACACCTATTTATCAATTATTTCGAGATAGTTTATATCTAGAAATGTGAAGTTTTTAGTTCTCAGTTAACTAAATCTGGCACAATACACATCAATATACATATCTCTTTCTCATATATTCTATTATATAATATTCTATCTTATATATCTACAAATAATGTTTGCTTATTATTAATTTGCTTATTTTTAATCTATAAAAATATTTTCAACAAAATCTATTTCGTTACTCCCCATAAATCTCGTTACTCAATAATTTTATAAAATTGAATCGCTCTTGTTTTCTAAAGTTTATATAATCGCATTACGTGAATGTATGAATTAATTAAATATGTTGAACTGGAATGAAATAGAATGTCAAATATTTGTTGACTGAGAGATTTTCTAAATATTACAAAAAAAGAACTTGATTCCCAAGTTTTCAAGAATTTGTAAAGGAATACTTTCATACTTATCAATTTTATATATGTTTATTATTATTTTCGATATATGCAATGCTATATTTAGCAAAGTCTAATTTTCAATAAACTTTTATTTTCTTTATGAGTCAGTAACATCTACTTGCGATCAAATTACATAAATTTGTCATGCTATCGGCGATACTATTTGTGATTCGTGATCTACGCCCACCGGTGTCAGTTGATAAAGTCGTCATTAGTCAGCCGTCGCGTTTTACCGTCGTGAAATTGCAATGCGAATAACATGCCCGATAAAAAATGTTTATCTGCAATGCCGCAGTAGTCGGCAGCAAAACATACGATTCTTAATTTTCATTTATATAACGAGCATTACGTTTTACCGCGCAATACTACGTATGAGGATAAACATATCTCAGTGAAGCCCCATTTACCTCGATAAGGTTTCCTGTCTCGAACTCTCGCTCTCCTGCACAGTAACTTAGACAACATCAACATGTATGTTGTCAACTTAAAAACAAAAAATGACAACAAAATGAATTCCGAGAAAAACCAATGTTTTCAGTTGTTTACATAAGTCTGGACGATCTCTGAGCGACGCGGTGTATCTACAATCTGTTCCATGTGATTTCATCTTGATAAGAATTAATTTATGGAATTTTGTAAATAGAATAATACATAAAATTGAATCGAGGGAGGAAATTGCAATGCTTTATATATTATAAATTCAACAAATACAATTATTAATTTTTAAATAAGCAGCGCTTAAATAATAATAGGAATATCAAAATGTAAATTGAAAAGAAATGTAAGATATGATGGCTATTCGGTCGATACTATTGCAACTGATAACTTTCATAAAAACAGGAAAGTAAAGAAAAATGTGTTGAATTTAGGACACCTGCTGCGGCGTATCTCGAGATATTAGAGCAGCGAACCGAATTGAAAGGGGAGTTTGAAATAGGTTCTCCGTCTGCTTGAGGCAGATCAAGAAACTGAGGTCAGGAAAGTAGGAGCCGTACAAAAAAAAAAAGAAGGGACCAGAAAGTCCCTTGAAATACAGCAGGCCTGCGAGACACCCTACGTCTACACCTATCGAAAACTTCGTAACGCTACACTTCAGGCATGTAATCTTAGACTATTGCAGGGGTTCTTTACATTCCAGACCGCACTTGACTTAAGGCAGGTAAGAGTGTGGCGTGAGGATTCCATAAGATAAACAGACTCGCGCGGTCCCGATGACGCCAGTCACGTAAGGGGTTCTGGCATTTCTCACACTTACAGATACTGAGATTGTATGAATTTCAAGCGCGCCGCACTCGATTCACGAGCATATCCAGATCTCATCTACGGATTTTCCACGAAGAGTTTCCACCCGATTTTTAACGGCTCGATGAAACGAAGTTCAACAGGAGTGAAAAATTATTCGAGCGGGAACGTCAAATGGATCTTCACGCCGTGTATTTTAATTTCAAAAAGAAGTTTCCTTCTGCCACTTGCATTTATTTAACGGACAAGCCAGTACTTCAATGCCGCGTGCATGTTTTATGAGCACACATTGAGAATAAATGGAATAAAAAATTTTCCACGTCGATCGATGCTCGTTTAATAATTTTCGAATAATTAACGCCTGTTAACGCACGTTCCGTTAATGCGCCTAATTAATTTCCGCTCGTGCAAGGTCGCATTGCGATTCATTTATCAATTGAACCTGGGCTCGGGGAATTCGGAAACTGTTTGGCGCGACGAATGGTGCCTCGATAATAACCATTGTCATCGCAATTTCCTGCGCAACGTGGGTCACGTGAGTAGCGAGTTGTAATACGTCCTCTTAAATAACGATCTGTCATCTATTGCCTTCGCATCGTTACGTAACGCGATCTACTGCTCACTGTTGCGTTATTCTCACGGTTAAAAACTCCCCGCAAAATTTCTGTTTTCCCGAAACGCGCTCATTGACGACTTAACCTGATCGCAGGGCAAAATCGTAAATTTCGACGAAAGCAAGAATCGCAGTTTTATATTTTTCGTTGTGACGAAACACCGGAGGAAACGCACGTGCCAGTTTACGAGCTAGACCGGCGATATTACGCGGTCAAACCCTTCTTCAATATGTAAATCGTATCTCGCGCATAAAGATTCCCTTTTACGAGAATGTTTATTATTTACATCAAGCAAAATCAACGCGTTTCGTGTCAATTACCACGGTTAGACATAATTTTTACGTACAGCGAAATCAATTACATAAAATTTATTCTTTTAACAGACGTGGCTTCAATATTAATAATAAAATAAAACGCTTCGTAGCACTCATATACGTAATGTGATAGATACAAACTGCAACATTGCGCATTCTCTGATCTTAACTTCTGTGTTCAGTGAAAAAGAATTATCAGCATTTATCTTTAACATGATACTTTAGAAAAAGAAAGCGATATGCTTCGAGCTACCTCATTCTTTTTGCTCGCTGTTAAAAAGAATCGAACATAAAATCTTTTTCTTCAACTCTATACTTTAGAAAGAGAACGATTATGCTTCAAGCCACGTCATTTTTTTTTCCGAACCGATAGTGGCAATTTCATAGAAATGTGCTAGTCTATTATTGTGTATATGGTAGCACTTACCAGCTTTAGGCAATGTTTACCAGCAATGTATTGAGCTTGTTCTCTTAACGAATGTGCTATATTAAATTTAACAATAATAATTTTGAATAAATTGTATTAGGTACACATCTAATTTGTTTTTCTTTTTTTCTTTACGCCGATACTTACATTCCGTCACGTTCTCCAAAATTCGACATTCGGGATTGGTTAGTGTCGCTTTTCGAATGCTCATCATGCGTGCTTACGTGACTCGATACAACACCGAGTGCGAAAGAGTGCCGACATCATATCTTACCTTCGCGTTATCGCTCGTCTCAACATTATTGTTCTGCGTGGAGAGGCGCAGATTATCTTTCGGCGGTCTGGCAGGTGCCCTCTTCTGATCGCGCGGTGGGATGGCAGGCTTGACTCCATTGAGACCGGCCTAAAAATCCATTCCGAAACAGCTCGTATTAGTGGTCCCACGTGCCTGACGTCGCGCAAACTACTTTGCCTTTCCCAACTCTTATCGTTTTCACATTCCTTTCTCTTTTATCATTATTTTCAGACACAAACTATTCGTATACTTCAGTCGAAGAGGCTTTGCAGAACCGCGTATTTGCATGCGGCACGCGGAAGGACGAGAGGGAAGAGAAAAAGAGGAAGTTGACGTAAGCTAGATAAGCGAGAGAAAGAAAAAGGTAGAGCGAGGTATACACTAAAAGGAAAGCATATCAAAAGCAAGATTACGAAAGTAAAATGCAGAAGTAAAATGCCAACTCTTTGAATGACTCGGTGATTCATCAATATAATCGTATCAAAGATGATAACATACTTCTACTTATTTACTTTTAGTTATCAATCTATGTCAATTTTTTTGTTAAAGAATTATTATGTTATTTAGAATCTCAAACTGTTTATTCCCTTTGTTCACTTTCGAGATATGTTAATTAAGATATGTTCATAATTTATAGTTATAGCATTTTACTTTACAATTTTTATTACGCATTATTTGTGGCTACTTTACCATGCTGTTGATCTCATGTTAAATACTCCACATTCCTTTACGCATGCTCCTTATTTTGCGTCTTTAATTGAACAGCGGCCTTCGCACATTTTATCTTTGCAATAATAGTCTTATCAAAATAAAGGGTATATTACACAAATATAAAGATATTATATAAATTTGTTCTTAAAGGATATTCCACAAATTGGTGTCTTTATCTAACCATGTAATAAAATTTAATTCAATTAAATAGAGTGACGCGTGCTTTTATAATCAACAAATCCTATATATATATATATATAAAATTCCAACCCATGTCTCGGTTTATGAAAGAAAATTTTATTCATATTGCGCCTCCTAGACAGCAGCCGGTGTGGAAGTATTGAAAAGTTGTGCGACTGTAACAGTTTCCACGATCATAACACGTGCAAAAGGCGCAGAGAAATTACTGTTCTATAGTTACCGAGAGTATCTCTTTTATAGACAGATCACGACCCTTAGCATCGAGAAATACAACTAGAATGATGATGAATTTAATCAGGTAATTCAAAAGACAATCAACCACGAAGTTACTTTGCAAGGCTTGCAAATTTCCAAAGTGCAAGGACGCCGCTCGAATTATTCGACGAGCGAAAGTTTCTAAACTCGAGGCGAAGTCCATTGTGGTTTACCTGCTGTTCGAGAGCGTCGACGTGCGACTTGAGCGAATGGTTCTTCACAGTGTGCATCGGTGATTTTGGTATGTTCTGCTTCATACGTTCATCAGAAAATCCGTCGTACAAAACTGTCGGGTGATCAACTTTATCCCACCCGACGATGGGTGATGACGTGATTTTCGATATTGAAACAAAGTCGGAGAGCGAAAAGGCTCTCCTTGTCATCGTCGAATGCCAATCAGCCATTAAATTTGGAAGGTCGGACATGCTTCTCCAACTAACGTGAAATTTCACGCCATTGTTAGGAAGCATAGATGGAACGTCCAACTTGAAACATTCGTATTTAAAAAATAGTCTTGAATTTTGTTTATTTTGTGTACTCGGCGAATCATCGAGACAGTAAGCGCTGTCACATCGCTCCATTTCTTGTGGCTGACAATCATTAGAATAACGCGTGTCGTCGAATAAATGACTCACAATGCGTTGCTCCGCAGAGGAGAGCTCACGCAGGGAATTCCGAGAATTCTGATTCGTCTCTTGGATAGACGATTGGACACGAATGTTATCTCTGACTTTAGAAAACGAGATATTTTTCTCCGGTAACAAGCTAATCTCGTTCGGACAATCGGAGAAGTTATTCTCCTCGGTTTCCTTCTTGAAACCAAGGAGTTCTTCTTTAGAAGAGCTCACGACTTTGTTTTTAAAAGTAGAAAAGACACTCAAGCATGTAGAATCGCTAGTTGGGAAAGGGGAAGAGATCATTTTATTATTACCAGCTTCTTCGAGAAAGGGATTTTGCGAATTTTTGGGAAGCTCATCTGGAAAAACGGAGGATAATGAACGTTCTCCGCTCTCGCGGAAGACTTTTCCTCGTAAGAAAACATCGTGGTAATCATCCTCGAAACAGGAATTCTCGATTTGTCGATTTTGAAAGAGATTCTGATCTCGTTCGTTGAAGGAGTTCCGTATTTGCGAGAACTCGTTGGGATTTTCAATGTTCATGACGAACGATTGCAGAACAGGATCGTTAGGATGAGTCTGCATTAGTGAGTTAGGGTATTGCGTGCTGTAAGAGCCAAGCGAATCATCATGCTGGTGGTGCAGGATAGACTGCAAGCTGTCGCATATTAAGCTCTTGACTTTGGACCTTACCTTCTTCAAGCTGTGCTTATGGTCTACCGAGCGCGCGACCACGGTCTCTTTAGCGCTACTGTCGGCACTAGACAGCGTCGTGAAGCTATTATCGTTCAAGGAGAGGCGAGGGGAGGCTACGAGCGTGGTTGTCGTCATGGTCGTCGTTGTCGCAGCGCACGAATTCGCCTCGTTAGTGACACTCGCGCGATCGCGCTTTGGCTCGAGGGTGTTGTGCTTGCTGTTGCCGGGGGTCTTATTCGGCGGCGGGTATATCGGATGGCACTTGGTGACCGGCACGAAATCCGGTGGACAATCGACGGCTACCTCGCGGTAAGGCTTTCTGCCCACCACGAGGAAGCTGCGGTCCGCGTTATGCTCGAGATCGCCAGAGGCCTCGCTCCTCAGTGTGGAATAGCCGCTGGAGATCTGCTGATGCCGCTTCTTTTTTGTCCGCTGCCGGGACGAGGAGGAAGAAGAGGAGAGATTGCTTAATTCGATCCCGAGAAGATCGTCGGTCGAGCCAGTCCGAATCAATTCCTCGATATCAAGACTGCGGGTTTTTGCTTTCAATTTAACTCGCTCGTCATTTGAACGACGTTTCGTCGGACTTTTGCCGGACTTGCTTACTGGCTCGGTTTGGGAAGAGTCCATCTGCTGATCCTTGACACGGACAGGCGAGACTTTATCGTGGTCTTGCGGAGTTCTTGGAATTGAAGATTGTTCATCAATCAGTCTGGTTAAGTCTGACATTTCGTCGGATCGCAGTAACCCCTGAAGATCCTGCAAGTCCGTTAATCCATAAGCCGGATTGTCAAAGGAAGTCGCGTCTCGGGTTCGGCCAAAGAGTGGAGCCACCTTGATATCGGGTACTACCGATCTACAAGGAGAACCGAGGTCTATCCTTCGTACGTCGTAAGTCGGCGAGTCCTTGTGGCTTTTACTATGCCTGAGCATTAGACTGGTATCGAGGGGTGCAGTACTATCCGATCTACCCGATGAACTTCTTGGACTCGCGGAATCGTCACTACATGTTTTCAGCATGGTGGGATAATCCTCCTTGGCAAAAGGATAGTCGTCTTCAATATCAACGCTAGACTCCTTTTGTCCGCCTGCGTCCTCGTCAATGTTCGCGTATACTTCGAAAACTTTAAAGGTACTTTTCAAATCCGGCGAGCCGGTCGCGATCGGGCTATCGCGATATTTGTCGAATCCCAGATTCTTCCTGGTGGCTTTCACTTTCTCCTCCTCGTCCTCGATATTCAGCTCGATCTTCAGCATGGACGGCTGAAGACCGTTGTGGACGTTAATTGTCCTGGCTGCGTCGGTGACGTCGTGCGTGTGATCGTTCGATACGAGTCTAGCGCGTCCGTCCGCGATGGTGCGCGTCTTAAGGGTTTCGTTTTTAAGGTTTAGGGAGAGGTCGAGGTCGCTAGCGCTACGGGGACGATGCTGTAGCCCGTTCCTATAATCGGCAGAGCAGTTTTTTACCTTGTTGGGATAGGCCTTCTGTAGAAGGGTGTCGGGCACATCAACAGGTAGCTCCCGATGATGGCCCAGGGCGCCAGGGGCCCACATCTCATCGGGCCCCAGTCCCTCCTGCGGCTTCTTCGCGTCGCGCGAGCTTGTTGTTCGCACGAGTTGTTGTTCGCGCGAGTTGTTGTTCTCTTGCAACTGCAATTGCTGCTGTTGTTGCTGAGAATGTATGTCCGTCACGCCACTACCGCTACGCCTTCGGGACCTGAAATAAGAGAGCAGATCCTGCATTAATATTACTGTTAACGGAGCATTAATATATACTATTTTTTCATTCCTGAATGATTTTTAATTTTTAATTTTCTCAATGTACTGTAATAGGGTGAAAGTATACAATCTCCATAAAAGTATATCTTGAGCTAAATAATTAGCAAAGCTTAATAAAAGACAACTTTAATATTATATCTAACAGATATACAAAAATTGTTTATATATTTTATAAAAGATAAGATAATCAATGTCTTTGAAGATGTATATTATATATTTATCCAAATATAATTATTATAAATGTTATTAAAATGTATCAGATAATTGAAAATGTACTTCTGATAGGTAGAATCTTAATGTGTGATCCTTAATGGGGTAGACGTTCGATAGAATAGTACACAGTCGAATAACTGTACTTTTTTTTTAATAGATGAAGGAAACTAAATGAAGGATAACTAGTTATTGAATGTTCCTTATACGCAATTTAGGGTGAGGTAAATTGCTAGCTATGATGAACAAAAAATAGTATATCCGAATATTATTATATTATACATTTACGAATAATTGGATATCTTTAAGGTGTAAACTAACTCAATTTTAACATGAGGTATCTTTGACAATGCATCATTAAGAAAGATCATATTTATAATAAAAAAGTATTTATAACAAAAAAAATACATGTGATGATCGGTTAGTATCTTTACTATAAATAATAGTAATAACATATAATAGAGAAATAATATATAATAATAAGTTATTATTTTTAATAATAATACTTTATTTTTTCTTGTTAAAATAAATAGATATACTGAGAAAAATATCTAGTTGAAAATAAATGAATCAAAGATTCTAAATCAGTCAGAATCTTTCCAGTTATCCCAACTAAAATTTTAGTAAATTTAACTATAAAGAAATTCTAATTCTCATCCATTTTCAACCAAAATTCCAATTAATTCAATCAAAACATTTTTCTCAATGTAGTCTCCGATTAGATAGTTAATATCAATGTTTTCTTAAAAAAGTCACTGAGATAAACTTGCGAAAAATTATAAAAATTCAAAAAAAGATGCAATTTATCTTTCGCTACCTCCTTTTTCTTTCTTTTTTTTTTGGAATATTCCTTCCTTCTATATTTTTAGATTTCGTAGAACGTGACGGTGCTCACGTGGAAATAAAGTCAGTCGCTATATATCATATGATCCCGATAGTACATGTTACATGATGTCTCAAACGAATGTAGAATCTCCTGGTCGTTCGATCGTGTGAAAAGTCTTTGGGACATGCACGCGGCAACAGACCGGGAAGAAACTTTCGATACGATAAATCCTAAATATATGTATTACGGTTTGTCAGTCGCCAGTTTATGTTAGGAAAAGAGTTTGCGATTATTTTTCGTTGTAAAGTTGTTCTGACTAAAGTAGCTTAAGAAAGTAGCATAAAAATCCCTAATAAATCGTGAGGAATGTTAATTTCTTTCATATTAATTAACAATTTAAATTTTCATTCAAATTGAAAAATCTATTACAATAAACATGTGACTGAATTAAATACGAAATTTAGAACATCATCATATTTAAATGCAAATTCCAAATAATACTACCCACAAAGTAGCTACAGTTTGTAAAATTACATCTAAATTTTATCAAATTGTTTGCACTATCAGTCGATTAAATAAAGTTTTTTTACTGATTAAACTTATGTTGTGTGTGCATGTTTGCTGTATTATATTTAAATATCAAAATTTATTTATGTAAACTAAATGAAATATAAGTACTTAATTTTTTCAATAAATAGATAAATTGAATATATACGAGCGCACAAATTAAAAAATATATCTGCAATGGAAAAACAACTATATCTGATTATTATTTTTTAAATAAATATTCATATGTGCCATAATTGTATACATATTGCTTTATATCAATATTTGATATCAAATATTAAAATATTACGAAAAGGAATGATGACCCATCGCGCGGAAGCTCTCTACGTCAAATCCAAATTCATAAAAAAAAATCTGCATTTTTGTTCTAACTTGATGGCACTATTAAACGTCCAGTGCAATAATTTCCACTTATGCGTGTGCGTTTCTGTTCTGCAGTATATTGCAAGATGTCGGAAATTAGATTTATGCGACAAAGACCGTCCATGTATAAAGGACCAATGGGCCTTTTCGCGGATCTGATTACATTGTCGAGCGTACAGCATTCAACACAAGAACGCCATTACACTCGTTTGGTTCTTACGCAAATACGCGTGGAAGGTTCATAGAGCGAACGATAAAGAAGGAAACAATGGAAATCGTGAACAAAGGCGATAGGAAATACGGTATACCACGATTCAATATGTGCTTGAATATAAATGAGAAGCCCTGCATTTTCGGTGGCATCTTACGCAATGCGTTTAATGAGATTTAGAGTTCTTGTGATCTATACATTAAAAGTGCAACCGCCGTTTTCCGTATTTATATAAATATTTCTCCCTATTTTGTAGCTTTATGTTTATCACTTGCACTTGATACAGTATTTGAAAAACGTTGCAGGCAACTGGCTTGTAATTTCAAAACATATTTTTCAGTAAATAAATAACGATAAAGCAGTTGTAGAGTTTGTATTTATATAAAATATTTCATGTTTTATATATTCTAATATGTGTATTTATTTTTTTACTATATTTTATGTTTACTTGGCAGTGCGGATTTTAAAAAAAAAAAACACCTCTTCACAATACGCTTCAAAGTTTATAGAAGAAATTTTTATTTCAATCACTGAATTTTCAAGAAATTATCTCTTCTTTTCTGCAACTCTTCCACCTCTTCCGTTTCATAATACAATTACAGCGAGAATTAAATAAAAGCGGAGAGCGAGACCTAATTTCTGTGTGACGCCCGAACATGGATTTCCCCAAGGAAATGTCACAATTTTTTCTCCTTGCAAGAAATGCCGTGGATTGTACTTTCCAATAGTTAGTCGATTGTTAATGTGACGTTTACGCCGCGTGCATCTGTTCCACGTGGAGCGGTGGAGCCCGTAATAGAAAACGTGAGCAGATCAGCGTGATCACCATCTGCGAAACTGCATCTAAGCTGATCGACCTGTCGAGGCTTTCAGGAAGGATCGCCCTCTTTTAAAGGGCAGACTCGGTATAAGAATTTCCAAGAAAAACAGACACAGGTCAGGTCAATTTCGAACAGAGGCTACAAGAAAACTTTCCAAAAGTTGTCCGAGTGTCCTTTAATTCAGGTTTGAGTGCATTCTTCGGCTCGAGGGATCGATAATCCTATCAGGAACATGGGAACATTTTTTTTTGCTTTATTCGTAATAATAACAATTGGCACGAAGATCGCTCAAGTGCGAATTTTCGCGCGCATCAAGTGCGTCCTGTGCTACGCACGACGTGAATCGAGCGAAACGATCAAAAGCGATGAAAATGTTGTACTGCATTTATAGTAATTTGAGATGATCGGCTATAAGGTAAATTGATGATAACGATAATAATCTAACTTGCAGCGTGGGCTTTCATCCGTGAATTAACTAAAAGCTAAATTGACTCATAAAAGGTATATAGCAGCATTATATCGATAATATCTATATGATGCAATCGAAAATAATAATACAGCCCGTAATTAAATCCTTATAAAATGTGATGTACCTTTTCCGCCATCCATTCGAATTTTCAAAACGGAAACAAAGACAGAATTCTCACTAAGGAGATTTTATTAAAGGGAGATTTTATTTTTTTTTTCGCTTTTTTTTTCGAAAGTTACCGAATTAAATTCTAAATTTCTATTTAACTATTTACAATGTTACACAAGAAGATTCTTTACGACAGATTTTTCGGTCGAATGAATTTTCTCGTCCTTCCCTTTTTACGTAAAATAATGCAGAGATTGAATTCGAGAATTTATCGTTTTTCACGGAGCAAGTCTCCTCGCGCTTATGAACAATGCTAATTTACGGTAATTGCGGCCGAAAAATTTGCGACATGCAAGATATACGAGTGAAAGTATCACGTGTCCTAACAAAACGGATACTCGCGAAAGGAATGCAAGTCTAATCACGCTTGTGACGATGGTATCGAAGTCCTTACACAAATCGTGACTCCTGCGAAAAGTTATTCTTGCCTTTTCAATTAATTTCCCCATTCATGTCTGCATTTTTATCATGTCATCGTTTTCTCACCGACGCGCTCTACTTTTCAGTGTCGTGTCGTCAGTAATGTCATTACGCGGCAAAATCGCGCGAATGCACGAAACGATCGTTACGAGTCGCCTAATAATGGTATACAGGAGAATAGTGTCATCGATTATGATTCACCGAGATTCAGAGACGAACAACATTTTGCTCACGCGTGTTGCGATGAATGGCCATCGATATTAGGAATTCGAACTTTTACCGCATCAACTCCACGTGAAACGCGACGGAGTCGCGATAGTTAAACGTCGCGACCTTTAAGGTCGCGAAAAGCCAGAAATATTGATCTCCACGCCCAATAGAGATCCAATTTATTTTTGTAACGACGCTTATCGACAATTACGGCCGCTCGTCGGGCGGCGTCGCCGTCGTTTATTCGCGGAAATCAAGTTGCTAAATTACAACGCGTGTAACTACCCATGTTTAACGAAAAGAGATCGAGGCGTGCTCAAGGCCCGAACAATTATTCTCGTAATCGCGTGCGAAATCCGCGGTCGATTATGTAATGCGATGAATACGTTACACGATTGCTTTGCGTGACTTAAATTCCTACCGAGTATTTTGCGTTTTCGCATAAAAGTTTTGTATGAGATACGAAACGACGGAAGAGTTTTGACGCAGGAAAATCACCAGCGTGTGTCTTGATTCCACGAAGATTCTATTTAGATATGCCTAAATATAAAGAAGAAAAGGAAATAATTCGTTTACTTTATCTTTGGGTTTATGACATTTGAAAAAAAATGTAAATATAATGAGAGAAAATCGAGTAAAAATTGAAAAGGTGCAAATCCTTCGTTGTAAATAA